CGTTATTATAAAAAAAAATATTTAAATAAATAATAAATAAAAATATTATTTTTATAAAAAATTAAAAAAAATTGTTTTAATATTAAGGCAGTACAAACAATATGATACTTACAAAAATTTTTATTTACAGTTTTTGTATAAAAAAATATTTTTAAGGTTAGTTTTATAAAAAATTTAATGATTTTTTTTTATGTTAAGGCAGTACGAAAAATTTGATACTTGAAAATTTTTTTATTTTAAGTTTATATACAAAAAAATATTTTTAAGGTTAGTTTTATAAAAAATTTAATGATTTTTTTTTATGTTAAGGCAGTACAAAAAATATGATACTTAAAATTTTTTTTATATACAGTTTTTATGTAAAAATATATTTGTAAGGTTAGTTTTTAAAAATTTAAAGATTGAATTTTTTTTATATTAAGGCAGTACAAAAACTATGAAACTTAAAAACTTTTTTATTTACAGTTTTTATATAAAAAAATATTTTTCTTAAATCTATTTTTGCATTTTTTTCTTAAATCTATTCTATTGTCTTTTAAACTTTATTAGCCAATTCGTTATATTTTAGGAACTAAAACAGGTTCGAGTGCTCGGACGAAACTATGAACCGCATTTCCTTAAGATGCTTCCTTACAAGTCTTAGAAAACGGTGCCGTTGAAACAAATGTGCATATATATGTGTGCCTGATCGAAAAAAAATCAAAGTGACCTAACTACAGTATTAAATTATCTTTCATTTAAAGTATTTTTCTTTTTGCAACTTTGAACATTTTTTTCAAAAAATTGATTTTTTGTTGAAAACTTCGGAAAAATTTTGAATTTTCCAGTAGTCCATATAGAAGAAATACATAAAAATTTAAAAAAAAATATGGTTCGACTCTTTCAGTTGCATCGCATGACCTCCATCACCGGCGCCAGGTTGGATAATTCCAATATTTTTTATACTTAAATTTAGTTTTTGATGTGCTATCAGGCGATTTGTGGAGACGAAATACCATAATAATAAATCAAAAATGTGGAAGAAAACGTCTAACCAGTAAGCGAGAAGACCGAATACTTATACGCAAGTCTCTCAAGGGTCGCAAAAAATCTTCTTCTGCTCTTGCAGCTGCCCTTTCGGATGAATTTAGTAAACCAGTTAGTGCTCGAACAGCTGGAAGAAGACTTCTGGATGCAGATTTAAAAGGATGTAAAGTCCGAAAGGAGCCGTGAAGCCCAGAAAAGAATAGGAAAAAACATTTTACCGAAGAAGATGGGTCGACTGTTGTGTGGTCTGATGAATCAAACTTCGAGGTAAGCTTAGTTAAGATCGTATTAAAGTATCACGGGCTACAGCTTCTTACCCTAGCGCAATTTTGAAGACATAATACAAATCTTATGAAAACATTATTTTTCTTCTTCTCTACAAATAGTGGGAACACCTGGCGTGACGTTCGTGAGGCGACCAGATTGCATGGTACCCACTGTTAAGCATGTAGGAGGCAGCAATATGATCTGGGGCTGCATGGCTGCTGATGATGGCGGCGAAATGTTCGTTTGCGAAGATCGCATGAACAGTCAAAAGTACATAAATGTATTAGCAGCTGTTATTCTGCCTTCGTTAACGCGCACTTTCGGCGATACTAATTTAGACGCGAGTTCAATTTCAGCAAGACAATGCTCCTGGTCACAAAACAGCGACTACGATGCGTTGGTTTAGAGATAACAAACTATGCTTTGTTAGATTGGCCTGCACAGTCTACAGATCTTAATGCCATTGAGCACATGTGGGCTATTTTAAAACGCAAGATTAAGGAACATAGTATAACATCAAAAACTGCCTTAAGAATGCCTCAATTAAAGAGTGGTAAGCTATAAGTGGGAACGAATGTGCAAAGCTTGTACGCAGCATCGAAAAATGGACCTACTAAATATTGGTGCTATTACCACTAATTCATTGTACTTTCACTGTTTTACTAATAAAACTTCATCACTTCACTTGTTAAAACAAAAAATTCAGTAATTAGTGGGGTGCCTAATACTTGTGGCCAAGACTGTATGCTTAATGAAATGGTAAAATAAAAATTCTCTGCCTTTTCCCATATTCCTACAATAAATTAATAAAAATTATACTATTTTTCAAACTCTACAGTGGCTTTACGCCTTACGAAAAATTATTCAAATATGATTTTCATTGAAAATTGTATTATCAACATGTAATTAATTATAAATTAATGCATCTACGACCTTCACTATATTTAAATAATTACAAAATTTTATAAATAAATTTCATCAGCTAATTGCTCATCTCTTGAACTTGATAATAAGTTCAATCAAAGCGATTTATATTTACAAAAATGCATCGAATACACATTCGCGTGCCTAATTAGTGTTCGGCGACTGTAATTATGGCTTAAACCAAGAAACAGCCGGTGAAAGTCTCTTTAAATCCTTTGATTTATTTTGCACTTGAGCGCATGGAATTCATAGATAAAATAATAAAATAATAAATAAAATTGATAATGCAGACGCCAAAGCCGTCAGATATGTAGCTTAAAACAAAGTCATTAAATTCCACGTATTATTACTTAACACCTTATCTCAGCTAAGGCGCATAGATCTATTGACTTAAGTTACTGAAAAAAAAAAAAAAAAAAAAAAACACACAAAAAGCCGAATATTAATCACATTGACTTATCATCTTAAAGTAGCAAATTATTTGCAGACGTTTTTCGGTCAAAAACTAAACTTAACTAAAATTAACTTTTGCCATTAATCCGATACACGTGTCAAAAACTATGCATCTCTTTATCTTTATCATTTGTTGTTATATTTACAAATTTACACACTTAGTATGCCAACAAATAAAGTGTTAATTCAGAGCTGAGGAATTTCAGTTTTCTTATCAGTTTTGATTATTACAGAGTGGTGGGGGGTTTAAAAATTCCATTCGAAAATATTTTGTGTAAGCATGTGAGCCGTATGCGTATAAATGGAGAGATCAACAGTTTATTGCAAGACGCCTACGAATAGACGATGGATTTTTTTTTTATTGATTTTCATCACCAGAAATGCACTCGGATTTCCATTTGGAAAGTTGCTCGACACATGCGCTCGAACCGTGGCCATTCGTGTGACAGTACGCAATGTCAACCACTCTTACGCTCTTACGGCCGCCCAGGCAGTTAATTACCGTTTCAAGGGAGTAAAAAGTATTTACATTATTATTTAGTGCCTAAAAACGTGAACACTGCGTGTCCATAAGGAAAAAAAAGTACGATTGCGATAACAAATTTATGCTGTGCAAATAGTTACATTATCACCTCATGCTTTACTCATAATAAAATGTTTCCAATTGAAAGTAAAATAGATGCTAATCTGCCGAAAAGCGCGCACTTATTAAGCACTTAATCAACTCAATATATTATATTATATGTGCATAAGTATGTGTGTGTAGTTTGAAAAAAAAGAGACCTCTCAAAGATGACATGTTGTTTGCGTGTGCCATCCCTAACTCGTGCTAAGCAAATTATGGACCACTGTTCAAATACATACATACATATATATTTTAAGGTGGTAAATGCTTAAGTGTGCCAGCTCACAATGCTGTAATCTATAAGTGAGAGAGCGGACCTTAAGAGCTACCATTACGGATTAGCCGACAAATGAGTCGCACGGACGCTCCATTAAACAATCTCCTTCGACGAGTAGTTCAAAGCAGAGGGAGTGTGGTGTTGGATGAGTAGGCTTTAGTGGAGATGCAAAGAGTGAGGGAGGGTAGTGGCGTGCGGGGACGTTACATTTTTTGCGGTTGAAAATAGAATTTGAATCTGCTACAGTACCACGACCTTAATGGTAGCAGTAGTACTACTCTTGTCTCACAAGGCAGCTTGAGATTTTTGTTTTTGTTGTTGTAACATTCTTCCAAACACCATTTTGGAAGTTACAGTTCTTGAGCCGGAGCAAAATTCTGATCCTTCTGATATAAAAGCCCGAATGTCGCAGACATTAGCTGGCGTAAACTCTTGAGTCCTCTAACCAGCAGAGGTTTCTGAGTGTTGACGTACCCACTGAGCTTAGTGCCTGCAGTCATTCTGGTTTGTGGTACTGATGGAATACCGAGCAGACATTTGCATATGAGAACAAAAAAAACCCAAGGGATCTTCGTAATCTTAACATTATCGGGAGAAGATACCATTATGCGGAATCTAAGTTTGGAGTTGTGACCTCAAACTTCTACTATGATCTTCGACCACTTAAGAAATTTGTGGCCCACCTCTTCAACCCTGACATCATTAAAGAGGACTCAATGTCTGATAGTAGCATTGCCTGGTTTAGGCAAGTGGAAAGTTCGCTTGAGGGATCGTTTTTGGCTAAGGTCATGTATTATCTGGGAGTTTATGGCATTAAGTGCGGCTTTACAAAACCCATGATGATGTGCAGCTGTGCTCAGGTATTGTTAGTTTCGATAGCAGAAAGCACTTGACTGTGTAGCCGTTGTATCCGTAAAATTATGACCCAAAGGGGCACCAGGGACATTCTTTCACCGGACAAAATCAGAGTTCACCCGGATGTTATCCGCCTAAGGGAAATCTCTTTTTAGGTGATCTAACTCAGTTATACACTCTAGGAATATGCAGCTGGACATTCTGCTGATTACACGTAGAATCTAGGATTTTAAGCAGTTATACTGGAATATTCATTTAGATTCAGCTTAATCTCAAATTATTAATCAAATAATACATTTTTATCTTAAATAACTAGTTTTTCCAAGGTAGCTGGAGCAAGGTAGTCCAATAACACAACAAGTTTGTGATTCGCAATGTAATTATTTTTCTTTATTTATTCATCAATCCATATATAGTTAAATATATAATTTCCAATGCTTCTTATGATCATAATATCGAAAAAGTACTCTTAATTAGTGATTGATAAATAGTAAATATTTGTAAGGTAAATTCCTTTTGATTATGCAAAATTTTCGTACTTAACATTCAAAATTTATAAACTAAATATTTTTCCAGATTAAAACAATTATATATTGATTCAAAAATATCAAAAAAGTAATACAACAACAAATCTGATATTGTTGGATATAAACAATTATGTTTCTGCGCGTGGATTATATCGATATAATCGTTTACGCTTTCTCTCTTGTTGCCATTTTCTACGTTTCATACGCTCATTCAGTTGAGTTTGCAAAACTTCAAGCTTTGTGTGCACCGAAAAATGTATTTCCGCCATATTATAGGAGGCCAGCAAAAAGTTTATACGTACACGATCCTCTGCTACTTGCCTAAGTAATGCTATAGTTCTTTCAGACTTGAGCAACTCACTGCAAGCATCCCTGAACTCTTTTTCATTTGAGCTTGCCGGTGGGTTTACTTGTGAGTTCAGATTGTTAGACACAGTTTTGTGCGATTTTGGTGATTTATTTTGCTGCTGCACAACTTCAGTGTTGGTATGTATTTTAGTTTTCTCTTTAGTAGAGGCATTCTCTTCATCATCTTCTAATGCTATGGTTTCAAATTCAATTTCCGGACTTACACACAATGGATGATGCATGCTCTTGCGTCGATTTCGTTTATTTGGTTGTGCTATTTTTGCACTTTGGGGACTCGTTGTGGGTGTTGTGGTCGCACCACTCGCAGCATCTGCTCCTCCTTGCACAGATACAATCGTGGGCATTGACGTTGCATTGAGAGAAGCAACTTCCGAGATTACCATCGGTGAAGGTGACACACTATGCTTAGGAATCACATTTGACTTTTCTTTTGCCAAATTCGAGATGTCATTAGTGGGTCTGTTACTGGGTAGAGGCAAAGTTACTGCTGGTGCAGCTCCTATGCTGCTTGCAAATTTTTCGTTTTCATCGTCAGAGTCTGAAATCTCTATCACTTTTGACATTATTAATGGAGTTGTTTATAATACTATTAACAAATTTGTTTACCCGCTTCTAACCAACCAATTAAACAGACTATTAAAACAGCTGTCATAGCAAAGAACAAAACCCGAGGGAAATTTCATGAATTTAACGCAGTTGAAGCTGCCAGATCGATAAATTATTATTTTTGAAATTTATCGATTCAAACGCAAAGAACGTATATGAATAGGAAGAAGAGAAATTTCTTTGTTATAGATGATTAAACCAGTGTAATTGGTTCTTAATACTTATAAATAAAAAAATGTCTCTCGCTTATGCGGCAGTAAATTTAAGGTAAAAGCCTGAATTGAAGAATCGCTGCAAAATCAACTTTTCCTATATATTGTGATAGCCCCTTTACTCATATTCTGGAAAAGTACTTTTTTCGTCTGGCAACTTAGCAGGGATATTTACCTAAAATGTTTTTTTCGGTATTTTGAAATTATTTGCTGAGCTAAACAATTTTGCCGTTTGCTTGTTTTCAAATCTTCCAAGTTATTCGTAAACCAAAAATTGTTAAGTGCACTATAATTGTATATGTAGTTTAAAAATTAAGGAAGATAGTACAATGGGGGCTTTCAATACCAAGGAAAATGTAAGCCTCTCTGATTTGGGAACCGTAACGAATGAACAAAATGAGATCTATAAACGTAAGGAGAGTATAAGAAATGCCGTTAGTCAAGCGATTCCCATTTGTGAGCCAATGCCGCCGGAATGCAATAAACCACATGGCTTGGAAATGACAGTTGATAGCCATAGAAACGCAAGGGATGAAGAAATTGAAAATTCTTCTCATGACAACAATTTTCAAGTGATAAAGCATATAGATTACGGTGTGGATGAAAAATTAGCGGATTACCAGTGTGAAAAGGCAGCAAATACCCCAAATGCTTCTAAATTGCAATTTTTAAGTGAGAACATAAAATTATACTCTGCACAAAGTATGGAAATAACTGCTGAAACATTTACTACCGAAGATAATAATTCAAAAGTGAATGTAATTTTGCTCGAACAAGCCATTAAAGAAGAGTACATTGAAGACAATATGGCTGAGGAGCGACAATACGTTTCACTTGGCAAGCCAGGGTCGAAAGCAAATAAATCTCCGCATGCACAAAACTATGAAAGGGTTCTAAATCCTTTATCTTTAGTTAATACTGAAACGAAGGTCGAAATAAAAGAACAAGCAAATTATCATTGTGATGAATTAAAACAAGAAATAATTACGGAAAACTCGGAAGTTTCTAAATGTAGGAAACCAATAAAGTGGATAATAAATCCATTTTCTGTTATTGCTGACGTAACGAGGACGTATGGTTTATTAATGACTGAAAGACAGAATAATTTAACGGATTTATATGCCAATAATGCGGAAGTAAAATGATTACATGCTAATATATTAAAATATTTTAAATATTTTTTTTTCATTTTTGTCAACAGATCAAACAAGAAAGTATCCAGAGTTCAACAGAAAATTTTTGTTTAAATGAATTAAAGGTACCTTCTATCCATTTTATTTTTAATTAAGAGAACATATGTGCATTCTGATTTATTTTTTTGCAGGAGGCAGCTTTTGTAAATAAAAGTTGTTCAGAATCAGATCTTTTTTCGGATTACCATTCTCTGCACAACACAAGTTTCGAGTCTATGGCAAAAAGTGAAACTGCTGTTGAGTCTTTATACAAAAGTAGTAGGTTTTAGTGAAAAGAAATATATATGCTTGCAATTAAATTCTTTACATGCTTTTAGATTATAAAGTCAATAATGGAACGCCTTATTGGATGGTTCAACTGCCAGAATATCCGAGTAAGCCATTTGAAATGGAGATAAAACAAAAGCCAATTGATGCACGCAGGGGTAAAAAGAAGGTATATTGATAAGCATTTGTTTCAAAAAATATAAAAAAAAACTTTTTTAAGGACACAATTATTGCCAAGCCAAGAAGCAAAAAAGCGACACCAAAGCAAGTGAGGGTATCTTCAACAAGTGAAATTAAAACTAAAGTAAGCTTTAAGTTTTTATATAATATATACAATATAAGCATGTTATTCCTATAGTTTTATTTCTTTTTCTTTTTATAGAGAAACAAGCGGTCTAAAGGAAGCAAAAGATTACCTAATTATGTGCGAAATAGTCAAAGAACACTCAAAAAATGTGCTAAAAAATCTAAGGTACAACTTTATTGCTCTGTTTACTGAATTATATAAGTTTTTATTTTTTTTTACTTTAGGGCAAACGATGGCGTAGATTTGCAGCTGATAAAACTTATATTTGTCCGGTAGTTCTTAGATCATTTGCTGCAAACAAATGCGGCAGAGTTTTACGGTCGAAAAGAAATGAATATTTAAATAATAAAAATAACAACAAGTTTCCAAAACCTTTGGTGGAACAAAAGCCTGAAATAATTGCGCCACCCGCACCAATACAAATTAAAACCGCTAATGGAGATTTAGATCTTAATTGTAATGAGATAACAGCTCAAGAAAGCATGCAGCCGGCTTATGGTGTAACCAATTATAGTCAACGCCTTACAACAGATAGTACATTAACGCATTTAACACCAGCCAAAATTGTAATTAATGAAGAGTTTACCAAACAGCAGGAATACATACAAAGTGAAAATAATTACGGAAGTATAGTTAGCGCTGCAACACAGGAAATTCTGCATAACAATTGGCAGCCAATAGTGCGTTTGAAAGAAATGAAGTTGATTTCCAATACAAACGCATTTAATAGCGCGAACAGTATTAAGCTGGAGCCTACAACTAGTTGGACAACATTAATACAATGTCCAAGAGTGTGCATAAAATCACCTAACCTAAGTGTCAATGAAAGTAAAAATTTTAAAATGTTAAAAACGAACAGTGCAGTGTTACCTATTTATACTATGCAAACACAAAGCCACAGCAAATGTTTAAGTGTAAAACTTAAAAGAGAATTAACACCAGAAAGTGCTGCAAAGTCTTTATACCCAATTGATTTACATAAATATAATAATAAATTATTACAAACAATGCAACCTAGAGTGTGCGTGCAGCGTTTGTCATTGCCAAGAACTGTTAGTCAATTGCGATTAGTCAATACATTTAATATTAAGCAAGAATGTGAACCCATGACGTATAACTTGTCGACTTTATTCAAAACGCTACCACAGAGTATTATGAATATACAAAATAATTGTAAACTACTAAAGTCTTTGCAGCCGAAGGTGCGTCTCAAACGTTTAAATTTTACTACACCGCTATCTAATGTTAAGTGCAATACAAAACTACGCCCTAAATTAAAGGCAGTGGATAATTTATTAAAATTACAACCAGTTGTGCGTGTGCAACGTTTAAAATTTAACAATTTCAAATTGCATAGAAACATAACCTATGAAAAAGTAGAAAATCACACGCAACAATTGAATGTAGATTTGGAAGTGAAGCGCGAACGTGAGTGCTATGACGAGAAAACAGCATATGAATTGAGGAAACGTAATACGCACAAAGTGGCTTGCATAAAAGAAGAAAAGGTATCGCCAAAGCGCAGTAGCATTGCATCATTAACATCCACGCCAAAATTGTGTATAGCAAGGTCATTTAGTATGCAGCCCATCGTACGTTTAAAGCGTTTAAAGTGCATGCAGTTGGGTGCAGACTTTGCAAAGCACCATACATGCGACGAACCGGAAACACCCATTAAAATGGAAGTATTGGATGTGGCGGAGGAGCAATTGACTCCTATTTCGTTTGCCAAGCAATACGATGAGCAGGATAGCGGTATATACACGGATACTACTTACAGGCGCAGTGCGTCTTTTGCACACGACGCCAGTGTAAGTGGTCGGAGCGCTACTAGTAGCGTTACTGCAATCGATGAATTTTCAAAGCATGAAATACTTTTCGAAATCGCCTTACAACGTGCATGCATTAATGATATACTCCTACGGCATGGCTATTCACCCGTGCAATTTCGTTTATACAATAATTTAGAAGATTTAAAAATATTTTTGGATTACTTGCTGGTTAAGTAATGTCTTTTTTGTAACATTTTCTGATAATGTTAGTCTTAATTTTTTTTTTTACTTTGATGATTTCCAATTTGCAATTAAGTCTAAATTTTCAAAATTTTTTGTATATAGAATATGCTTCTTTTAATTATTTAATTTATTGCACTTTTTTTTTAGTTGCAACAACAATTTGTTTATGCATTTTTTGAGCTATTATGGATATAAATATCTGTAGATACTTTATTAACACAAATACATTTTTCTATTAAATATTAATATTATTTAATTTAAATTTATCTATTTACTATTTACCATTTATTATTTTTTATTTATAATGCGGCAAAATAGCTCTAAAAAAATAGTATTCCACACGCGGTTTTGTTGTAATTTTCGGTAAAATTGTTAACAGTGTAAAGGAGTGTGTAGCATTGCGTAAAAATTCATATGCAACAAAAGCAACGCGTCCATAAGTTTTCGGCGTTTCCAGACGCGCATAGTAATTGAGTATTTCCAAGGCGAATATCAGCGGAAAGCGTTTCATTTTAATCCTTCTTTCATGGCTGTGGAAAAGGTAAATATAAAAAAAATGTTTAAATAGAAATTAGTATATATATAAATATGTATGTATTTTTTTAATGCGTACAGTACGTGTAGAGTATATTAGATTTGTACAGTTAACGGTTGTAATCTTTCATAGTATAATGCTAATGGAAAGTACGAAAAGAACGAAAATTTCGACAGGTAATGTCAAGTTCTTCGATTATACTTCTGACATGAAAATCCAAGCTCTTCATAAAAATCCATAGGCCGCTCAGAGCCGGCTTAGTAAATATATAAGACGTAGGTGCCTTCATTTGTTAGAAAAATTGCAAGAAGCACATCACAAACGGGAGGAGGAGCTCAAACGAAACTGTTACATATCGTATATAAATATATATATATATATATATATATCCCACACTCTAGTATGAACATGAATTGAATATGCACCGCCTCGGACAACAACTACGCCTTTGTACCATTAACGGATTTTCACTTTCCACCATCCGCTAGATTTAAGATCGAACATCTAAGACCGACTGACCTTTAGTCCTTCAGTCAAAGTCGCGTAACATTTAACACATATATATGTATGTATAAACATCAGCCGATTCTATAATGTTCGGTTCCAACCAAACTTAGATCTTTCCTTACTTATTTTGAATATAATTTCTTACCTTCCACGTAGTGGCATAGACATCATCACACCCATTAGATAACCGAAATCGCGACCCAGTATAAAGATTGAGCTATCCTCGTGACGCATATATTCTGGATCTATACACCACTTGAAAGCCTTTAAAAAATTATATTTTTTCTTAAAATAAATTTTACAAGTATTTATATATGTATTATATGTATGTATGTGTGCAGATGTATAAGCAAGCTTAAATTAGAGAGCAGAAATTTTTATTCGAAAATGTTCAAGCAACAAAAATTTTACGTTCAGCTGTTCAATATTCAATTAATCGAAAATTTACGAGCACAATTCGAGTCTTTTTAAGGATACCTAACTTTTTCAAGCATTATTAGATCAAATAAATCGGTTTATGTGTTTTTTTTTTTGTAATTAAAAAATAAAATCCCAAAAAAACATAAAACTTAAAAATGGGTAATTTTGAAATTTTTTGAGCACCACTTGTTCATTTTGAACAAAAATGTTATAGAAAATGTTTTGCTTCATTGAATTTTAGCTGCACAATATTTTCTAATTTTAAAATTATACTTGGAAAGTATTAAAATCATTGAATTAAAAAAAAAAAAAATAAACAAAAAAAAAATAAAAATCCTTGCTGCAGCTCGAAAGTTAGCAAAAAACTTAAGCAGCAAAAAAAAAAAAAAAATTAAAAGAAAATAAAAAATGAAAGAAAAGAAGCCTTTATACCTTTCAAGAGCTTCCAAATTTATTTATTGTTTTTTTTTTTTTTTTTTTAGCGATTTCAACCAAAACCTCATATCTGAAGAAATCGTTTACGTGGGGACAATAAGTTTTAGTGTTCGGATTTCAGTGATTTTCGGTGCCAATATTTGTTTGTATATATGTATATGTGAAGAATATCAAATTTAACGCGCTTAAATGTTTTTTTAGACGAATTATTGATCCAAAACCGCCTTTCGGAACAAATCGCTTATATAGAAGCTATGTGTTATAGTCGATAGGTCGACCGAGCCCGATAATTGAATAAAAATATTGCTGTATGTGAAGTTTCGCGTTCAAATATCTGAAAAATTGTGTAACTAATGTGCGTTTAAACAGACGCACAGACGAGATAGACAGACAGACGAGATAGACATGGTTCAAACTACTTAGCACGTCCTTCTCATCCGATTGGTATACATTTTTACCACCAACATCACTAACCAACCATGTCTGTCTATCTCGGCCGTCCACCTGTTTAAACGCATATTATATATATATATATATAATTTCTAAACCATCTCACACTTACCATACGCACCGACCAATGTGGATCCAAGCCCACACGTTTCATACTAAAATATACAAAGACCGGCAGTAGGCTCAAACAGCAAGTAATCAACACAGCTTTCAATTGGCTTAGCGAGTAAAATATATTGGCATGTCGCTCGTACAGCATTATGACACCGATTAGCAGAAGACCCGTTAATAAGCAATGACTTGCGAATTGTGTAGCCAAATAAATTCGACTTAGCGCTACGAGAATGCTCACCAACACCACTAAAAGTACACGAACGAAGGTCCGAAAAGTCGATGACCATTTGTGCCTCCATTCGATTTGGAATATGAGCACGTAACTAAATGTCACCATTGCAATGCAATGGCTGGAAGGAAATGCGCCTGTTGTCTCACAGCTGCCGCGGTATTGGCGTAAGAAGATTTTGTAATTGTCATCGGATTCATGTACCCACCAGTATGGACGATTTGCTGGCATGACCCTGAAATGTATACTCGTATATGTATGTCTTTTTTACTGTTTCTTCAAATTTATGCAAATACCATTTAATTAGTGAAGTTAGCGTATTGACGCACGCCAGTAACGTTACCAATAGCACCATCAGGTCATGCCGGAATGCGCCCAACAGTGGCACATAGTAGTCCATAATCTTCGCTGCGGAAAAATGTTCACTCAATAGCAGCAGCAGCCATTGATAATCCCTCATTCTTTATATAAATAGAAAGTAGTGTTAGTTTTTTGGATTCGAAATTGTTTTTAATATTTTTTTTTTTCAAATGTAACCAATCGTACTTACTGCTTTTGCACCTTTTCCACTATGAGTAAGTCTTCATGATAAATTTGTGGCAACAAAATACAAACATATTCCGTCATATTTCCACTTAAATCTGAAATAAAATCCATTTTGGCCACAAAATATAAAAAATATGCGTGTTGCTAAAGATTAACTTGTCGCATTATTGTTGACATTTTGTGTGGACATGCGCATATTACCGTTATATATTTGCTTACATAAAGGATACGTTTGTGACATTTTGAATCGAAAAGACAGATACAAAAATATTTTGCAGTTTGAATAACAGTGTATTGGTTAATGAAAATGACGAGGCGGCAGTACAAAAACAAAGAGAAAGGGATGGAGAGAGAGAAAGAGAGTTAGAGAGAGAGAGAAAGAGAGTTAGAGAGAGAGAGAAAGAGAGTTAGAGAGAGAGAGAAAGAGAGTGAGAGTAAGAGAGAGGGAGAGGGAAAGAGAGTTAGAGAGAGAGAGAGAAAGAGAGAGAGAAAGAGAGTTAGAGAGAGAGAGAAAGAGAGTTAGAGAGAGAGAGAAAGAGAGTTAGAGAGAGAGAGAAAGAGAGTAAGAGAGAGAGAGAGAGGGAAAGAGAGTAAGAGAGAGGGAGAGGGAAAGAGAGTTAGAGAGAGAGAGAGAAAGAAAAATAGAGAGAGAGAGAAAGAAAGAAAGAGAGAGAGAGAGAAAGAAAGAGAGAAAAAGAGTTGAAGGGAGAAAAAGAGAGAGAGAGAGAAAAAGAGAGAGAGAGAGAGAAAGAGAGAGAGAGATAGTAAGAGAGAGAGAGAAAAGAAGAGAAAGGAAGATAAAAAGAGAGAGAGAGATAGAATGAGAGAGAGAGATAGAAAGGAAGAGAGAAATAGAAAGAGAGAGAGGGATAGAAAAAGAGAGAGATAGAAAGAGAGAGAGAGAGAGAAAGAGAGAGGATGATAGAACTAGAGAGAGAAAGAGAGAGGGTTATAGAAAGAGGGAGAGAGAAAGAGGGAGGGTGATAGAAAGAGAGAGGGAGATAGAAAGAGAGAGAGATGGGAAGAGAGAAAGAGAGAGAGAGAAAGCGAGAAAGAGGGAGAGAGAAAGAGAAAGAGGGAGAGAGAAAGAGAAAGAGAGAGAGAGAGCGAGAAAGAGAGAGAGAGGTAGTCCAGGGCATATTTCTGAAATTAAATAAAAACAACCAATACCGGACTATGAAAGTAAGCTCGATTATGGAGAATAACAAGCGCCGTTAGATGATGGTCTACCAGCAGAGCTCTCCTGTGGCGAAGAACTGAAAAGAACTGCCTGCAGCAATGTCTTTGTAAAATGTGATGACTGGAACCAAAATGTGGTCTGCCAATCTATAAAAAAATGGACTCTGGTCTGGGCCAATTACTTTTGGATTTGGCTCTTCAATCTCACATGGAAGGTCTTGTCGAGCGGTTTGTGTGAAAGATTAAAGCACACCACCAACGAACTGGTAGATCCACATTTAACCAGTTCTACGTTATAAGCCAAACTTCGGAAAATAACTCTGAGACAAGTCTCGACATACTCGTACATCACCACTTCGCTATATTTAAAGCCCCGAAACTATTGTGCTGTGTAAACTGACGCTGATCCACGGGAAGCGGGAAGGATCCAATGGAGCTGAAGATAGCAACACTACCTGCAGAGCCAAAGAGTGTAAAACTACTTACCAATGCTGATTATATCGATATGAAAGCCACAAAATAGACTTGCTTTCTGCTCTCAAAACTCGCTCTCTCTGTAAACAAAGTTTAAGCGTTACTAATAGCGGCTCATCTTGATGCAGAGACACCATAAGTCAGCTACTTTAGACTACTTTGTACGCTAGCGACACGCCTGCTGGGGGCAGTAACCATACTCGCTAATGAAAGCGGAGAAACACAAAGATCTGGCTTCACCCAAGTGTCGTTCATAGAGAGAATAGGCTTGCCAAAGCTAAAACACCTTGACCCTGCGAAAGTAGGCTATATCAGCAAGCTTAATAATCAATCTTTGACACAACTTCCGATGGAGGGAGCTTCGAGATTTTAATGTTTTGGAACTCTACTGCTTATCATGTGATAACAGGAGATTTAAGAGAATCTAGATCATCCGACACCTTTCCTTTATGTAGTAGAGCAGATACTAGTTGTCACTCTGTTCAGGTATCTCCCTCACCGAAAGAGTGCAGTACCGCCTGCTCAGTAAACATCACTAACACTCTGTCCACGATCTGTATTGGTAAAATTGGACGTGTCGAAAACATCCAACTTGATAAGCACGAAATGCTACAATCAGACTTTGAGAACTCCTGCTTTACCGTCGGGGTTGAGCAGGCGTACCATTCATTATCTAAGTTGTCGACGGTAAGCATCGATATTCAAAGGTGAGCTACTATCATTTCAATCTTTCCCGATTGTTTAGTGTCAGAAGCTTAAGACTCACCACGAAATGCATATTGACTCTTTTCACCAGTAGGCAGCCGGTAGACATTAAATGTCAATGCCGAAAAGGCTGAAATTCTCCAACTTAAGACAACCCAGTCTACATAAACCAAGGTACAGACTCGTAAAAAAGTTCCCAAACCACCAGAAGACGGAAAGTCTACCAGTTTACAGACTGTATGCTGGAACAGGGATCACATTACACGTATGTAAATGATTAAGGCCGTCACCTAGAGACATTATCTGGAGTTTTTATTTCATGTGAGAAATTCATTCGCAGTGCCCGAGCACATCAGCAACAGACCAAAAAATTAATGAAGTGGAGAAAATGTGTCAATAAGGAATATTTGCGCGAAGCAATCCGCCAGAAACGCCCGGATTTGTGGAAGAACAAAAATTGGCTTTTGCACCACGATAACGCCTCTGCTCACTCATCGTTGCTTGTGCGCGACTTTTTGGCCAAAAACAACACACTAATGATGCCGCAGCCACCGTATTCCCCAGATCAGGCCCCCTGTGACTTTTTCTTGTTGCCTAAACTGAAGAGGCCCATGAAAGGACGACGTTACGCTACGATTGAAGAGATAAAGACGGCATCGAAGGAGGAGCTGAACAAGATAAAAAAAGTGCTTCGAATTGGAAAAACCGTTGGCACAAGTGTATAAAATCTCATGGGGATTACTTTGAAGGGGACAAAGTAGATATTCATGAACAAATAAATAATTTTTGAAAAAACACAAAATTCGCGATATTTTTTGAACACACCGTATTCTATAATTTTGTGGGGTTTCCTATAATTTTCTACCTCGACTAACTCAGCCGCCAATGAGTCAATCAAAATCTTGTTCTCTTTCAATGAACAGCATTTTTGGGATCAAACACCACCTGTTGCGGACTGAAGGGCTTGAGCTACTTCGTGAGATTAGCAACTTCAGCGCAATTAAAGACTGATTATTGTAGCAGCCTAAAGTTATATGTACTTATCCTGAATCCAGCATACAGTGAGTCTTCGTACCCCCTTTACATCTCACTTTGGTGCGAGCTCGACGAGAAGCGCTCGTTTTTCGGGACTTCTTTCGATGACATCGACTCGCCTTAGCCTCACCTCCATTCAGAGTTTTCATACAGAATGATGATCGATAATTTCTTATAGCCAACGGCGTGGCTCTATTATCTATACTTGACATAAGCCTCTCATCGCAAAAGTTATTTATATTGGGCTCAAGCCCAAGATACCTAACCAAGTAAATAAAAACAGACATATTTTTTTCATCTCATACAAACTTATTGAATTCATATAATAAATAATTACATACGATTTTTGTTTTTGTTTTTGTTTTTTTTTTTACAAAATGATAACAAATAAATTTAAATAAATACAATTCAGTTAGAAGAGAGACTCGTAAAATATTTAATAATAATAATAATAATAATATTTTATAATTATCATTTATCGTAGAGCAGTATGTGGTAGCAGTAGCAGTCGTAAGAGTACCAATAATTCTATTATATAATACAAAGATTATCTGGTAAATGTACATACATACATTAACAATCATTCAACGTATCAAAATGCATTCTTCTTCTATTCTGCTGACAAAACCGTGAGAGAAAATTTCCAATTTGTATGGAAATATTTTTATGTTAAAAGTGCTAATTTGACTAATTTTGTTTTTTTTTTTGTTTAATTAATTTTAATTTAATTTTCACTTTACTCCTTTGTTTACATGCTTCGTTCTAAAGGCAATAATAAAAAATATTTATTTATTTTTTTTTAATTAATTTAATGAGTGAAAATGTTTTATCTACACATTCAGGTTGTAGCAGCATTTTATGATTTCTCTTTTACTCTCTTATTGAACTACCGTAAATGTGATGATGATGCATTGCAGCGGTGAATATTTCAAAATTCAAAACCGTTAACCGAAGTTCTCGAAATGATGTATGAAATATGGTAGCTTCCTCGTTCTATTCACCTCATCACAAGCGGACATTATACTCTTCGTCAAGGGACGTGGTCCGCATGAAAAAACGCCAATTTTAGAAACCTGTAAACAAAAGAAGAAGAAAATTAATTATACAAATAATTAGTAAAAGATTTCTCGGTATGAGTGGCCACACTGTGGTACTCTACTAAAGTCTATTGGATTTAAGCCATAAAAGACTTGAACTGATAATTCAACCCTAACGAGCTTTAGAAAGCACAAAAAATATTCTCATAAAGTTTACCGAGTTGAATGAGTGACATTCGAAACCCACCATTAAGAGCAAACATTGAGGAGAGAGCAATGAGAGAGAGCCCTTTACTAAGAGCAGTATCTTTGCTCCATAACAATGGTCTGCTAAATCCATTAAATTCTATTTGGTCTTTGTCTGCTAAGCTTCGCTGAATATAACAAGTATTTTTTTCTGGAGAATCTACTGTTGTGAAGCATGTTTTTTCGACGCGGTCTCGCAAGCACTACAGGAGAGTCTAATGTCAGACTATAGTCTATTGGCTTTACGCTAGTGCAGAATAGACATTACCAGCAGTGAAGCTGGAAGTATAGAGTGGTTGGTACAGGTGAGGTGTTGGAAAACCTTTTTTGTAAGGCGTAGCAGTCTGTTTCTGAAACTGCTGGAAAACTGAGAGAGGCAGGGGTCTTAGATGGCCTGGGAACTGGTAATGAATAGATCGAACGTCTGTATTGCCGAAGGTTCTAGCTTCAAGTACTGACATCAAGACCTACATCACAAATTATAGAAAGACTTGAGCAGAGGAATCGCTGCAACGGCTGCAAAATGCCACGTCTGTCTCTTTTGGTTGGTTGAAAAGCGAAAGTAAAGAACTTGACTTGATGAGAAATCCTTTATCAGAGAATCAAAGTTGGATGTGGATAATTCCGTGATCTTATGCATAAAGCGACAAGGTACCTGAACCAACGTAACGAACAACTTTTCTGATGCTGCTGTGTTGTTTCTTAATAATTAAGAGTGCTACGAGTGTTAGTCTGCCGATATGTCGTGCTATTCAGCGATCCTTATCTGATTAGTCTAGATGGTGGTATGGGCCAGGTATTTTCGATGTTTAAACTTTCCGTCAACACTTTTACAAATACTCTCGCTGAGAATGGTGTGCTCTGAATCCAACCACTACCCAGAGTAGATGAATAGGCCGATCTACCTCATGAGAACGAGTAATACTGGCACAATTATCCAGACCTTAATGTAGCAGCTTCAAGTCCTACTTGTCCAGACTTTCGTAATGTATGTCCAGAAGGTAATGAGTTCCCGTGTGGCACGCCCACTTAAACATGCTACACTAGCAGACCGTCTATGTCTGTCATGAACCCGCCGAAAAAGCTTATTTAAAAGTTTAAAGAGGATCGTTGGACAACCTAGACTAACTTAGCCTGCTCTTTGGCGCGGTTGAGTAAGCCACTAAAAGAGCTGCAAGCTCTTTTCGAGTTAACTTCGGTTACTGGCCTTTCTGGTGACAGTTTGGTTGGCTCATTGCGGAAAGATTCTTCTTGGATTCTGCTTGACCATAAGAGAGAATGTTAAATATACTTACATAGGAGTGTTTCTTTTGGACGAATTTCAAGAAACTCGACATATCGGGGCGTCCAAAATGATTTACTGCTTTCAGACCCGTAAAGATCGAGGTCTTCGATAGACGTTGGAAGTGATTCTCACAAATATACTGCAAAATGAAAATAAACATAATAATTAATTATTCAAAACTCATTCTGCATAAAAGTCATCAAACTCACGAGCATAGTGGTTCTCAGATCGAACTTGTGGAAGAATTGTGTTATGAAAATATGTATTTCCAGCACATTTGTCACATCCTTCTTCTCAACATCACGCAGCACATCAATGAACCACTCGAAGTGCTTATGCGAGGGGCAAATCCAAAGGAAATACACCTTTTTGCATGCCACACCCGAGTACCGATTTGTGCTGGTGCCAAATACCAAATCGTTCAGCATAGACGCGTAAGGCGTAACACCAATGCCACCGCCCACCATGACCGCAACCTCGAATTTATACCAATCCTGATTGCCACCACCAAACGGACCTTCTATGCGTATTTTCGGTTGATCCTCCGGATTATAATTGCAAGGATCAAAATAATTGCGTAATTTCCAAGTCCAAGGTCCTTGCGCTTTTATATGACAACTTAGAAAATTTTCATGCGGTGCTGAGGTCAACGTGAAACTGTGCATTTCGTGTGGACGGAAGGCAGTACACGACAAACGTACCCACTGACCGGAGAGATATTTAAGATTGGGTGGACGGTAAAATTTGATTTTAATAACATCCGATGGCAAGAGATCCGTCTCAATAACATCCAGTGCCATATACTTTGTACGCAGCGAGACAATCTTGTCGAGCGTATAAATAATGCCTGGTCCAAGGAAGAACATCCAGAAACGTGGCGGTCCGGTGATGCGTGCCAAGCCGTGTATGAGTGAGAGCAAGTAGAGCGCCACGTACAGCTGGTGAGTGTTCCAAAAGAATTTGTATGCCTTCTTGCGTACCGTGGGATGGGCGAAAACGAAAATGATACACATCACAATGAAGAGCAGTACGCCAGTGGTGCCTGGGAGAGGTAGAGAGAGAGAGAAAGAGACGTGAGATTGAATACATATTTAATCGGAAATATGTGATTAATCAGTTAACTAATCCGCGTTTAACTTAAGTTACTGAAATATACCCAGTAATCGATAGCATTATTAATATGTAATTATAAAAATAAATAATTATTAATTAATTATAAAAACTGATTATAAAAACTTTTAATAAAATAATTAACCATTAATTATAGTTTGATATTTTTTTTGATTAGCTATAAAAATATTTAATCAATACAGAATCGTAATTTTTATTAATTAATTATTTCCATTTAGATTTATTTTGATTTTGAATATTTTTGGTTTCATTGAGCATAAAAATAATTAAATTCATAAATTAATAATTTTCCTTTATTTCATTTTCATTTTGATTTAATTTCTAATAACAATTATAATTGCATAATTAAATTAAAATAATTGACTAATTCCTAAAATCATTAAACATTAACTTCAATAATAACTTACAAACTGATTTTGATTTCGATTAACTAAAAAAAAATATTAATCATCATAAATTAAATATAATTATTTTTAATTTCATTTTTATTTTGAATATTTTTAATTTCATTGATCATAAAAATAATTAAATTCATAAATTAATATTTGTCATTTTGAGTTTGAATTTTAGTTTATAAAACAACTAAATTTATATAATTGTTTGATTAATTATAAAAATCATTAACAATTAGTCATAATACTGTTTTCAATATTGATTAATTTTAAAAACGATTTTCCTTTAATTCATTTTCATTTTGATTTAATTTCTAATAACAATAATAATTGCATAATTAAATTAAAATAATTGACTAATTCCTAAAATCATGAAACATTAGCTATAATAATAACTTACAAACTGATTTTGATTTTGATTAATTAAAAAAAATATTAATCATAATCATAACGCTCGTAATTAATTTTTATAAATTCAACCGTAATAAATTAAATATAATTATTTTTATTTTCATTTAATTTTGATTTTTTTTTTTAATTTGATTAATCATAAAAATAATTAAATAATCAAAATAAAATAATTGATGACTCCTAATCTTGATTTTGTTTTTGAGTTTGACTTTAAAAAGTAGTTGAATAATTAAAAGAAAATAAATGATTAATTCTAGAGATCATTAAAAGTTATTCACGATAATGATTTCGATTTTGAATAATTATTAAAGAGATTAATCGTTAGTCTCAATCCTACTTATTATCATTTTGATAAAAAATAAATAATAATAATATGCTTAAACAAAAAATATTTGCTTAACTAACAAGCTAGGGAATAATTGATTTAAAAATTTAGCATTTTTACTAAACTGAGTTGAATAACTAATTAATTATTTTGTAATATATAATTTTATTCTTTCATACTTTTTTTTGGATTAAATTTATAATTATTAAATAAAAAAGAACAGATTTTTTTTAAATTAATCGTAATTTGATTAAATCATTTTGTAATTAATCAATCATAATTCATTTCAAATTCTCAAGTTCACAAATAGAAAATACTAAATTAGGAAATAATCACAATTGATTAAAATAATTGTTAATTGATTAGTTAAAAGACTAATTAATTGGATTTAAATTAGCAAGTCAGCGATTAAACTGCCAACGGCACGACTAATTTGCAAAAAAAAAATTGGAAAAGCTGCGTTGTCAATAAGCATCTGATAAATCAAAAAAATTACTTATCAAAATATCGATTACTCAAAATATAATGAACGATTAATCGCACATCTCTACAAAAAATATCTCCGAATACTTACCGGTAACCGTTTGGAAAAGCCAAAATGAAATATCCGGCTTATAGTCGGAGGCAAAGTGCACCTCACGCGTAAGACAACGTAAATTCTCGTGAGATTGTGTAGAGACATGATAGAAATTTACAATGTGACCGATCGTATGCAGTACCGTGAAAAAGAGCGCTGTACAAGCGGCGATCTTGTGGAATTGTATGTGCGCGTCGAGTGGTATATATTGTTGTATGGGGAACTCCTTTAACTTGGTAATAAGATTACTAGAAAGTGAAATCAAAATATAATAAAATGTGTAAAGAAAAAGTGAAGAGAGGTTTTTTTTTCTCAAAGGACAGAGATGTCTCCACAGAGCGGGGATCTCTCCGCGAGAAAGATTTTTCGTCACAAAAAGAAATATTTTTCGCCACAGAGAGAGAGAGAGAGAGAGAGAGATGCCGTTATTAATATACCTACCGAGACATTGTGAGTAGTAAAAGCGAGTAGCAGAAGGACAGCGATGCCGCTGAGCCACGTGTTATGGCAATGCCGACGCCCATAATATGCCGTAAATCCGTATGCTCAGCCATAAATGAGTAGTCTGCAGTAATAAACATCAATTAGTTAAACAAAAACCATACTTAACCTCAGTTTCGTACTCACGTATGAAGCGTTCGACGAACAAAACAATGGTCACAACGTAAAATAGGAATAAATAGAATATATTCTGCCGATTTTCCTCCAAGAATGTTATATAGCAATCCAATTTCTCTTGCATCCAATGTCTGGGCTTCTCCTGCATTGGCTCGATATTGAATGAGGTCATACGTGCCACATTAGTCGATGTATCGAGAAAATTCTGTTTTGCACCTTTACAATCCAAACCAATGGCAACAAAGTCACCCTTATACTCTTTCATCATCAATTTGAAATCCTGATAGGTTAAGTGATTTTTATGCTCCAAACCCACATCTTGGAACATGCCATCAATCAATTCCGTCACTTGATCATCACCCAAACTTGTGGTACGCGCCATTTCCACAAGCGAACGCATCATTTCGCTCAATTCACCTTTGTCGATAACGCCATTACGATCATTGTCACACATATCGAATATAATACGCAACTTATCGTCGGTCTTGCCACGCGAGAAGAGCACCACAGTCTCGAGAAACTCTTGAAAACTAATGCGTCCATCTTGATCTTTGTCCACGATATTGAACATTTTACGCACGAACATATCATTCGGTTTCATGCCGAGCGCTGCGGCAAATTCGGCTTTCGACAGACTGGTGCGCATAACGGTCATCACTTCGCCATCGGTGGAAGCGTCTGAACGTCGTCTACGCTCACCTGGACGCAGGCCGAATGTTAGCGCATACGCTTCGCGAAAGAAATACTCCAAACGCTTCTGACGTCGCTCACGCGTCTCGGCGCGCGCCAGCATGATTTCACGATTCACCTCAACCAGTGTCATTTCTTTTTTATGTAGAAAGAGAAAATCCTCCAGTTTCTTAACAAATTTGCGTCTCGCGCCATAAGATTCCAGTTCTAGCACCAAATCGTGATCGTTAGGCACACGCAGCAATATATATGGCTTCTTCTTGATGTGATTCGTTGACGACTCTTCCACCGTTATCACTTCGAAGTTCTTCAAACTGAATGTGCGCAGTTTTTCACCCTTTCTATCCACCGTGTAAATAGCCGCTTCGGGTCCAAATTTCACCGTTACCAAACGTTTGTGATTCGCATGCAGCCATTCGCGTGCCAACATCTTATCGACCGAACCCTTATTTTGCGTCGAACGCAGTGCTTCTTGGCGTATTTTCAGCTTACGTCGCTTGCTGTTTTGCAACTTGACCACACAGTAACCAGCGCCAGCGCATAGTATGGGCACGAAACCGAGAAAAACACAAGCATAAATGAACATCAACTCAGAGCCGGAAAAGTAATCGTAGCCCTCGAGGTATTGGCACGGCTCCAGCTCGGATGCGTTCAGTTGCATGGGCTGTGGGCAAGGATCCCCTTCGCGCCACATAAACACGTCATGTTGTATATCGGAGTTATTGATATCTGTGCTATTCACTATAATATCCCACATGGTTATTTTGCGTAAATCCTCGATTTCCTCGCGCGTAAAAACACCGCTGCGCTCGTTTTCGAACCAAAATCGATCAGCGTCACGCAAACGCTCGAACTGTTCCTTTATTACGATCGTAAAGAGCTCACCCGGTTGGCCATACGATTCCAGCATACCACCGACGTAGACGTCTACGTCGTCCAAGCGATCATTATAAGCTGAGATCAGCATTCTGGAAGTAATTGAAATTAGTTTTTGTAGTGGGGAATATTAAGGTAATAAAAATATAAGTAGAATATCCTTTTTTTGGGAGGAGTAAAATTGACAGGAGCTCCACATAAGTGTGACTGTCCTTCATGTGGAATTAACGGGCAACAAGTTTTATTCATGGTCCAAACAGATTCCGCTTTTCGGCCTGGCCTGAGCTAAACACTCTCCTCCAACTGGAGAAAAATTAAATTTGAAAAGTGGACGCCATTTTCAGGAAAGTCTTACAAATGGACTTCAGCTCATTGACTTCAAGTCGAACCAAGTTGTGGTTGGTTCAGTGGATTATTCGCTAAACGGAGAGGCTGTGAACTGAATCGATTTCGGCCATCATTTTGTCAGAGCCAATATATGCGCTAAGAGACTACGTATAAAAGTTAAAGGAATAACGCCCTTGGTGTTGGAGAGTATTCAATAATAGCTTTAAATGTTGTCTTGACAACTTTCTGACAAAAGAAGGGATCAAGACTTTATTCTAAGCCTTCCACATACGGCCCTGTGACTCTTATCAAGAGCTTTTATTTCATATCAGAAACACACTGGCAGGGCTTGAATTTCTCTTCCGAAGAGCGACCGCTGTTAGGAACTTCATTTTTTATGATTTTTAATCTTTGCCGGACCAATACTCGAACCCTGGGCTTTCGAATGGCAGAACGCCACTCACCTTAACAACTCGGGATTCTTCTCAAACAACTCAGGATTGATTTCCTTCCAGTCATTGCGACGAGGTAGACCAAACGACTCACGCGCTGTGTTATAATCAGGTAGACCATTGTCACGACCACGCATAATATTCAAAGCGCCCAGGTCACGTCGTGTGAATTCCATGGGACCAAATAATTTATCGCGCACATCGGTGCACAGTACGGGATCCTCACGTTCCGCAATCTGTGAAGACATACCCAGTAGCACCTCTTCCACTGTGGTATCTGTGAAGAAATCCTATAAAGCAAATAGCAAATGAGTTTACAACAGCTGCTGAAAACATTTCGCGCAAACTTACACTGGAGTCCCACCAAGTGGAACACAAACGTATTGCGGGATAACCCATGGGCGTCTTCTTGTAATTACACTTAGCATCACGACGATATATGCCTGGCGGTATCATTGTGTGACCGAAGCGAAACGCAGCAGCTTGAAAGATATGTCCAATGCCGGGGTGTATTTCCTGTTTGTAACCCTCGTAGGGTTTCACTTCAGAGCCCAGGAAAGCCGGCAGATATTCATACATAATAACATTCTGCAAACTTGCTATCACCATGTGCCGGGCACGTTGGAAAATATCCTCATCGCTCCAATCGGAATGTGCGCGTTTGATGCGTTGCGCAAGCGTATTATGCCAACGTAAAAATAATATGGCAAAAGAGAGCACAGCCGGGTTTTGATTTGTACGTGGGTCGCCGAGCACTGTTTGAAGAGCGAAAAAATTAAATATTTTTGCGGTAATTTCTAATAGAGAAGTACTCACAAAATAGACGTTCCGGACTGAGCATCTTCATCACATTCGGCGCTGGATTATTGAAGAGCGGCACACGCATCGTATTCTTGATGGGCATTTTGCCGCCCTTTTCCGTCAGCAGCGTGCCATTGTGGAACGAACGCATAGCGTTTAGCCACGCCTCGGAGGTGCTGTAAATGAAACTGCCATCAATCCAAGCAGTCATTTGATTTATCTGCGAAGTGTAGGTAATTTTTGGATGGGATCAGGCAGAGCATAAATTTTTGTTGGAGCGCGAGAGTAATACATACAAATATTTCTACACATTTTAACTTACTTACAGTTGTGAAGAAATTTTTTTTTAAATAAAAGCATTTAAATTACCTGCTCACGCGGCGCATTCGGACTCTGTCCGGTATCACGATCGTATGCGGCACGATGGAATGGTATATAACGATCACCGCGACATTCACGATCATACATTTCATCACATTTTTCTATCTCAATGCGATGCATCTCAATGGGGCAGCCCGATTCGGAAGCCATCACAATCTCATTCGCCACAACTTGTCCGAAAAATGCTAAAAAGGCGGTACGATTGTGCTTGGATGCCAAGCCATCACGTCCGCCCATAAATAATCGACTTAGCCGTCTCGTGGATGGACGATTTGAACCGGCCATGGAATATACACCATCCGTATATGAGGGTGGTGCTTTTCGCACCAAATGACTGTCTGGAAAGAATTAAAAAATAAATAAGTAAGAATGAGAAGTAACGTTTTGAGGAGTGGCAAAACTAAAGCAATAAAACTGAAGATCGGTTAATAAACCGATGGCCAAGAAAGTAGTAAATGCTTTTGATTTTAAATCCGGTCTGATCAAGTTTTCGATACACCACAAATGATGCATTTTTAGACAAAGCCCACTCGAAAATTTTATTAAAAAATGCGGCGACTTACAGAAGGTCTACGATCCGAGCATGCTCTTTTGAGATCCAAAGAGTGAGCTTGCGATCGATTTCCAAGGAAGCTAAGCGAATGAGCCAATTTATGGGCGACTGCACAACGAAGTATCTTCTGTCAAACAACAAACAAACTGTCACTAGATTGGCGTCTCGGCTCTAATGTTCTTGTGACAGTCATAAAATTGTAGAAAAGACATTGCCGCTTTGCTAAGATCCAGCATGAACACCAATATGTTAGTCTCGGAACCAAATACAGAACTACTTTACATGCGACCAAGTGAAATGGCTACCCGACCTACACTGTAAAAACGTGCCGAAAAATTATTCCACGAAAGCGGCTTTCTCATTTCCGTTCGAGAAATGTTGACACCACAGAGCCACCTCGCTCTGATCAACTAATGGTGCAGCAAGACCGACAAGTAAGCTATCAGGAGATAGCGAAGACACTAGGCATCACTTACAAGACAGTTTGGAATTTATTGAATTACCATCAGCTTCGACGGGCGTAGAAAAATGGGCTGAATTCGAGTATTTAAAACGAAAAAAGTTAGTGGTCAAAGGCCGGTGAGCGTCTACAAATGAGTCTAAAACCTGAATTGACAGCAAACAAGCTGATGCTGAGTGTATGGTAAGATTGTACAATATATTATGAGCTGCTACAACCTGGCGAAATGATCATTTCCGAACTCTACTGTCAACAAACAAACAGGGTCTGAAACGTCTACTTCAATTTACGAAAAGAACTACAACGTTCTACACATTAGAGACAATAAAAAGTGACGCAAAGTCGTTTGTTCGTACAAAGTGTGCCTGGCGACGCTATGTATCGGCGAAATATATTCCAAGAGAGACCCGCTGGGTCAGCGAGCACAACCTTAGCTAACCTAGCGAATTCAGTAAGCAACCTTCATACAACCCTAACCCTGCACAAAAAAATTGGCAGACAAAGAACTGCTAAAAATCATACAGCCAAGCTCTTCACCGGAAAATCGCAGATGCACTACGCTGTTGGAATTATGAAGCTACGAGAAAAATGGCAAAAGCTTGTAAGTAATATTGATCATAGCGATAGGATACCACCATTCGGAAGGCTGGTTTACGAATTCGTCGAAACAGAATATCTCAAGTAATGGAAAAATATTTTTTTTTTTTTCGGCAGAGAATGCCAAGCCCACCGAGTATGTTTCTGGCATGAAATATTGGTTGGAATTGAAATTTAGGTGCCTCCTTTGATGGAAAAACGTCAAGCACAGTAGGAGCAGCTCACCGAAAATCGCTTCAGCGGTTACAAAGCGTTCATTTTAGTATATAAACAATTTACTTGATTAAAACTAATTTTCAAATAAAGAAAAATTTCATTTGAAAATTTACAAAAAACTATGGAGACTTTTTATATTGGTCAAGTAAATAGTTCGTTCGGTTTTTTATTATTGATTTTTCAAAATATGATAACTTTGTGTACATTTAAGTCAAATATGCGCCGTTTTTTTTTCGTAAACTTGTTGCCAACGAGATGCCAGCTTCATTAAACCGCTCTCGTAGAAAGCCACGTTCCTATTGGCAAAAAACTCGGAGAGCCAATTTTCACAGGCCTCTCTTGAGGTCATCTTTTCGCCATTAAGGGCGTTCGTCATGGACAGGAAAAGATGATAATAACTTGGTGCCAGGTCCGGACTATAAGTTGGGTGCATTAGAACCTCCCATCCGAGCTACTGGAGCTTCTAGCGCGTCACCAAAGACGTGTACTATGGATAATAACGCCATTTCTTAGATAAAACCCGAACGAGCTTTTTACCTAACCTAATATTATATAACCCAATACGACTTAAACGAGAAAATAATTTTTGAGAGAAATTAAATGGGATTATCTATTCATTAGATAGTTCAATTAATCTATTAGCAATTAGTACAGTACTAAATCACCTAGATTACATATTCACTGTGAAAAAATTACAACAAACTTGCAAGTCCCTTCAAAGGCATTAATTGTTATTTAAAAGTCCATTAGTTGTCAACAACTTTCTTATATTAAATCGAAAACATCGACAAGGGTTACTTGCAAAAATTCAGCTCACGATCAACGAGTGATGATGATCTATCGTCCCTCATCTCACGCCCTTCCCACACACATTAGACACGTTCCACACGAATATGCAAATTTGTATATACAGAATATGACGTTATCGCCATACGTGTATGAAGCAACGATCAGCTGTGCAAATTGCCTGTAGAGTCACACTTTAATGTAAAATTGTTGTATTTAAAATAGTTTTTTTTTTTTTTTTTTTTTTTTTTTGGTTATAGCAAGCAGCGTTATATTCTTCTGCTAGAAAGGAAAACCGGGTCAACGTCACGAATTGCTTTTCTGTTTTTCAGTTATTTCATAATGGTATGTACATATATACATACATATAAATATATATATGTAGTTACTGAATTGCAAATTCGAAACGTGTCTCGTCTACCAGATGTTTACTTACTTACATACATATATACATACCTACATACATACATACATACATACATATATACATTTATTGTAGGCTTATAAATATTTATCTTATACATATTACATATACACACGTATATATGTATGTTTGTATGTATTACAGTATTTATTTGCATTTGTCATCACTCACCTACTGATCCCCAGTCTGGATGCGCTAAATTATTATACCAGCCGTCATAGCGCTGCTTCTCTGTCAAACTGTACATTTTATCTGTAAACACAAAAACAAAAGCAACAAAAAAAGGTGAAAATATTTTAAATAAAGAAGATGAACAAATATAAAAGTGTAAATACATAATTTTTTTTCTTACATCTACAGTGTATTTCTTTTTCTATTAATAGACCGAATCAGCTCAGTAAAGTTAATGAACTTGGAGTTTTTATTTATATAAATAAATATGTTAAATGGAAATATTTTCATTTAACTTATCAGTGTGACATTTATATATACTAGAAAACGAAATCCGACAGAAAATGTTTTTTTTTCCAATACTACCCAAAAAATATTAAAAAAAAAAAAAATATTTAAAAAAATATTTAAAAAAATATTAAAAAAAAATATTTAAAAAATATTAAAAAAAATGATAAAAAGTCTAATGAAATAACAGTCATATGACTGGCTTCCGCCTTAATAAAGATGGGAGAGAACGAATATTTTTGTTATTTTTTCCTTAACTCTGGGTTGTTAATGAAAGGTTTTATATTATGAATGACCCACTATTCCGGTAGATGTCACTTTTGTCGCTGTTATTTTTGACATTTGACAAGTAAAAACTTCGTCAGTAATAAAAATGGAACGAAACACCTTTCAACAATGCATTGAATTGATTAAAATTCCCCAAAAAATAGTGAAAATACGTAAAACTAAAACATTTTTCTGCCGTCGTGAAGCAACTTGTCGGAGCGCAATAGAGAAAAGTGTGTGAAAAATTGACAAATTAGTGATGTGCTAGAATAAAACACATGCTAGTCGCTCTAGTACAACTGAGTATATTGTTTTTGTAGTCTAAAGTGTTGAAGAAAACCGTCATTTTTTGCAACATAAAACCTCATGAAGCCGTATTTCGCATAAAAACTTGGCTCTTAAGTCTTATAAACTACAGTTAACACAAGAACTCAAACCAAATCGATAATCACAATGTCGTGTCTTTGCTGATTGGGTCCTTGAAATGCATGAAAATGAGCCGCAATTTGAACGAAAAATCATCTTGACTGATGGCAATAAGCAATACTATAACATTTGGGTCTCCAAAAACCTACGATTCATTGTCGAAAAGCCTCTCCATGCTCAATATCTAACTTTTTGGCGCGTTTTATGGCTCAGGGCGGGGTCATTGGACCATAGCTGAAGCAACAGTTACGGTAAACGGATTGCGCTATCGAACAGGCAGGAACTGGCTGGTACTGTATTGAACTGCACAACGTTTACGTGCCACACATACAACGCAGCCAGCGGTCTTTTAAGTGCAAAAATTTCCGGACCGTGTTATTATCTCTCGAAGAGATGATCGCAATTGGACACCGAGATCTTGTGATTTAACACGTTGCGACTTCTTCCTTTGAATCCACAAGAAGTATAAGGTGTTAAATATGGAATTCTTGAAGCTATTGAGCAGCTACTTTGCGATTTGATGGTGGACAATTTCATAAAAAGCATATGTCCATTCAGGCATAGCCGTGTTATCCATTTGGCTGATATTGTCTTCCATTATTATTGGCATGTCTTCCTCTTTACATTGTAAAAATACAATTTCTTTGATTTGTTTTCTAAAAAGATACGTTTCAACATTTCTTCTTGTAATTTTTATAAATAAAAAATTAAAATTTGAATTTTTCCTGCCTGTTCCACTTCCCGGCAGAAAATGTTGTGTTCGTGTTAATCCAAACAGAAAGCTATCTCTGTACAAAATTTGAAGTTGATGCCATATTTTCGAATAGGTCGGTCACTGGTCACTTATAATAAATGGCAGAAACAACCTATTTTCTTATGTATTTTTATATATAGACGTACCTTGACTTAATCACTTGAGTCTTCAATTGAATCGCAGCAAAAATATAATACTTGTCTGTGTATTGAATTATTGAGTGGGTTTTGTTAGATTCCGATGCTGAAAAAATTCTTGGATAATAACAGTTTTTCTGAACTTATTTACTATAAACTATGTATCAAGAATCTTATATTGAATGAGTGCATAAGTTCGTGCCCGATTCCGCTGGATGCCGTTCGAATCGTTTGAGAGTGGCGCTCGTGAAAGAAATATATACATATTATATATCGTTGGAAAGGTGACAGTCTGAACTGTAAATCAAGCATAAAATGACTTCATTTTGATTTGAGTTGCTTAGTGAAAAGACGCATGGAAGATGGACAACGAAAAAGATCAGATGCGTCATATTAAGTTATACGAATTCCGCAAAGGAAAAACAGTAGGCGCTGCAACTAAAGATATTCGCGAAGTTTATTTGGACCGTGCTCCAGCACTCTGCACAGTAAAGAAATGGTTCGCGAAATTTCGTTCTGGAGATTTTAACCTCGAAGATCAACATCGCAGTGGACGGCCTTCTGAGCTTGATGACGATGTTCTAAGGACTTTAGTTGCGAATAACTCACGTATTTCGACGGAAGATGTTGCCAGTGTATTGAACGTCAACAAATCAACTGCGTTTCGTCGTTTAAAAAAGGTTGGGTACACTTTGAAGCTCGATGCATGGGTGCCACATCAGTTGAGTGAAAAAAACAAAGTGGACCGTATGTCAACAGCAATTTCTTTCAGCTTTTTTGACGATTTTAACCTAAAATCTCTTCTCTGAAAAATCGGTTTAAAGTGGGTACTTTTATAGACTTCCCTTGCGCGATTTTTTAATGTCAATATTTAGTTGAATTTACATGTGCAGAATACCAAATTTCACACTCTAAGATGTTTTTTTTTTTGTTTTTTTGTGGAATTATGACAATAAATATCCAATCTTAAAAAATGGCCACATATTATATGTATATGAACGTTATAATATTTCCAATGTTGAAACACAATCCCCTCCGGTTGTCGTCGTTCCTTCAGACGATCCAAATGCTGACATTGCAGGCCCGGAATTAAGAGCCTGGCCGTGGGGAGACAGCTAATATTGGATGATTCCTTGCTAATCCCACTAAACAAACACATAACAAAACCTTTCTGGCCAACAATCCTGACAAGGAGATCGTTTGAGACGGCTCACTACACTTCGACCACGACCGTTTTCTTTTAATGTTACCGTAAGGGAACCACTTTTAATCACCAGACACTATACGCTTCAGAAATGATACGATTTCGTTAGGATTAAGTAGCGATGTGCATATTTCCATCTCGGTCCAATGAGGGTTTTTATCGTTGGCTCAAGCTTTTTAGTGTACACAGTCTTGTTCTAGTGATTCCTAAAGAGCAAAGGTTGCATTTGACTGAGGTCGCTCTCCGACGCACTATGGTCTGACACACGGAACAGACAGTGCGGGGGACTAGGAGCTGCTGGGTAGCCCTCGCACGGAGGGAGAATGAGGAGTTGGTTGTGGGTAGGGATGGGGGTGGAGGTTAGAGGGACTCATGCTGCGGGGAGCTCCGTGAGACGGTAGAGGTCTGCGGATTACCCAGAAAGGGTAAAGGTGCTGAAGGCACTGCCGTGGAGGCTGGTGGGCGGTTTGACATTGGCAGCATGGGGCCACATAACTCGTGGTCCATTCCCTGTGAGTCTTAAGGCCTGAGTAGGTGTTAAAATGACTCCAACCATTGCACTGGGTGCATCTAACCGAGGTGGAGGAATGGTGGAGTCTTCTGTGACACACGCCGCAGAAATAGTCCGTCGGTACAGGGTTGGTTTCTACACCAGCCCTGATCAGAAGTATTTGGAGCAACCCAGCTGCAAGGTGTTGCTCCATTGGCGAACTTAGACTAAAGTTACCTGTTGACCTAAACGGGGTGAGGTCGCCGAAAGGGTGACAGCCCTTGGTCGGATAAAATCCGGGTCAACTCTGGGCGTAGAACCGGCTGTCGTGAGAGTTGTCATCCTTCTAATGTCGTTTAGCGTAATCCCATCGCTGTTACAGAACGCGAGAGATACAGATCAACCATAAGTTGCAAAATTAATGGATTACTTTTTACTAGACCTAATAATTAGAGATTTTAATGTTCAAGTAACACAATGTAAGCACATTGCTGTTACAAAAGTGTTGTTTTAATAATAATAATTGAATTGCAATCGTCATTTAATTGCTCAGAAGTATGACTATTCCACTATGGCATTGGTAAGAAAATTTATGAGCTTGCAGGGGCATGTACATACATATGTATGTGTGAACGTGCTTGGCACTCGTGCGTGCAAATTCCGCTCGCATGTATATGGTCACAATTTAGTGGAAACTAATAAGCTGACAATCATAAATTATGTCGACGCATTTTAGTTTGTGTTAATTACTATTATTATTATTATTTACTATTTAAATACAACTTTATGAGCACATAATGTATATGCAATACATAAAATAGGTATGAATGCATGTAGTTATGCACAATATTTTTTTTTTAATTTTACCTCCAAAATAACCAATTCAATTATACTACAATTTTTCTTAATAACATTTCGTTAATGTCACGGCTAAGTTGAGTATTTGTTATTAATTAATTCCTTTTCATTTTATTTTTTGTTTTAAATTATTTTTTATTTACAACATTTACAGCAATTACGCAATTAAGAAAATTTATGCGTTTTTCAGATCTAGATTTAAAAAAAAAAAAATTTCAATTAAGCAATGCATGCAATAATTGTGGCGAACAGGTGTAGCGTTACATACATACGAGGTGTGTTCAAAAAGTATCGCGAATTTTTGTGGCGTTATGTTGGTACTCATGTCTGTCACTTATGCCGACAAAAGCTCGGCCATTTTGAATGTTCACTTAATTGTAGTAAGCTGCTTTACGTGCAGGTGTTTTGGATAGTCTTCGATTTTTACCTATACAAAGAAGTGGATCAAAGAACCTGGATGCATGCGAATGTTGACTGTGGCATACGGAGAAGCTACCTTGAAGCGAAGCAACGTTTATCGGTGGTACAAAATGTTCTCAGAAGGCTGAGAATATGTGAACGACGAAGAGCGTGCCGGACGCCCGAGCACTTGAACAACAGACGAAAAAATTAATGGCAAGGGCGTCGTGCATCATGAGTTCTTGTCACAGATGCCAC